TGCTGCCAACATCAAGGAAGCAAGATTGCCAAGGTTTATCATGTCATGTCATTTTGACATTTGCAATTGACAATTTGACAAATGTGAATAATAAAATGAAATTTTCATAATTACATGCGGATGAAGCCGCACGAGAACAGCTAGTATTATGATAAACTTACCTAACAAATGTTTAAGGAAATGATTGCAAAAATAATAACCAGGTATCAAGCGACCGTCAATCTTGATGGGGTTTTTCCATACGGCAGAATAATAACATAATTGCGAGATACCAACATAAGATTCTTTATAACGTTTAGTCCACGAGAAATTAAAAAATGAACTAAAAAGGGAACAGCCTATGTGTTCTTCCAGACAAAGCTCTACGTCTATGCCTTCCATCGAGATACGTTCCAGAGATATCTTCAAACAAACATTTGTCCATCTTAACTTTTGCATTTTTTTATAATATAAGGTTGGCAAACGAACAAACGGCCACTAGAATCCACCGAAATGGAAAGCGACCGCTGCCCATAAACATCAGCAATTGCAAATGCGTTGCCTACCCTTAGTTGACGGCGGAGGAGACGCACATAAAGAGGACTTTTCCCCTTCCTATGCGTCTCCTTCACCGTCAAATCCACTTTTCCTTCCCATCCTTTCCTCTTAACAAAAGGATAGAAAGTAAAAGGAACTAACATTAGGCCTCCGGCACCACGCTCATCAGAGGACACGTAGAATTGCTTCCACTTCATGCCTGTTTTCTGTGTGGTATTACACCGGGCGACCCATTCGAGCAAATATGGTAACGTTTTACCATCTTCGCATATAATTTAACTATAATTTTATTATATATTTTTTATAATATTAATAAGATAATATAGAGTTAAGAATATTGGGACAGTAATATACATAAATAATTATACCTATAAATATAGAAATATACAATACTTGTTATAACCTGATAAAAATAGTCAGATATTCTCAACTACGTTTATAAAATATAAAATATTTTATCCCCGAAGACCCAGAAGCCCAAAAGATCCAAATTCTCATTCCATATGTATACAATATAATAGATTCGATTCCGCAGACAGAAGAGTGTTTTAGTGCAAAAAGCATGAATATTAATGAATTTAATGAAATACAAATCAAAATAAGAAAAAATAACACGGACTTAAAGCAATATAACATATATAAATGCAAAAAAACAATCAAATTAAACTACAAGCTTACAAGAAAATATAAACTAAAAGAAGCTTTTTAAATTAAATAATCTAAACGTAAATAAAATAATATCTTAGATGATGTTATATTTAATATTTAAAATGATAGAACCATTTAATACCATAGCCAACAAACTCAATGATTTTAATTCCCAATAGAATATTCTGACTCTCATTTTAACTCACCTTCATTGCAAACAAAAACAAACATTTTAATAAAGTACAAACTAAACATGAATTTAAATATTCAATTGTTGAGGTGACATGATTTGTTGACTCTGATAAACCCAACTAAATAACCCAAACCACACCTGAATGGATGACAATGAAGCAATCGTGCCATTTACCTGCAGAACACTCTTTCTGTCCACGGTACCGGGGTACTTTGGCGTCGTTTTCACAATTTGGACGAAATTCTCCGGCACGTCGACAGCGACCTCCCTTCCCAACAGCACCGGGGTCGTATCAAATCCGGGCGGCAACTTGTACGACGCGTACACAGCCTCTCGGATAAGTACGGAGTCAGTGCGAGCGGAATACGTCACACCTTCTCTACAATCTATCAAGGAATCTTGCCCGTTAGATATGAGAAGTTGGATCTTGTGGTCGCTTAAGTTGTGTGTGTTGTTGGACGCGACTGACTCTGATTCAGAGATGAGGTCGCATTTTGCAGTCTCTAAAGATGCTTTGCTTTGCTTGCTGCTGTAACTGATTGAGCTATCGCTTTGTGGTAGTGATAGGAGTTCGATAGTTGTGTTTTTGAAGCTGCCGGAGGCGTCGGACGCAGGTGGGGAGTTGTCGGATGTATCAGAGACGTCGCTGTCTCGTGCTGCGCTGCGCTTGCTGGAGAGCAGAGGCTGGTGGTCGCGGGCGCGGGTGAGTACCTGCGGGGGCCGTGGCGGAGGGTACCGGGGCGGGGTCTTGCTGCGCGCTATGAAGTTTTCCGGCACATCCACCGGCATCTCGCGGTGGGGACCTGGAAACAACAGAGAGACTAAATTAGTACAACTATATATGCTTATTGTGTCAATGTTTAGCATTAGACTTAAACATTTTGCTTTTTACGATTATTAGGATTTAGAGCGTGCACAAACATTTGATTAAATTATTGCACAACTGTTTAGTCTCGCTTTGATTCCTATGAGCTTATATAGAAGTGCGCACACTACTCAAAACAATTGACAATCGCACAACAGTTGTGTCATAGTTTAGTCAAGATTTGCGCCCGCTTTAAAAGCATATTATTTGATTCAATTTTAGTTGATGTATTCGCGTTGTATTCTAAGATTAAAAGAATCATGAGAGTTATTGTCTAGAGTATTATTTGTCATTACAAAAATAACAAACACAAAAATCTACGTAGATTATGAGACGTTTTCTAAAGCTATTTAAAACCGAAAGATCAATAGCCATGGATTGTATTAATAGTATTGGGACGAAATAGGTCCGTTGACCCAAATAAAATGAGCCGTAATCGGTCGCTGGGTGAGCGGGCAATTAGAGCTGCCGGAGAAAGGGACTGGACCCGGCCAGGGTAATGACAAAGATATTACTATTACTGCAAGCCACATGTTTTCAAGTACAGATATAAAACATCTTTAATTATAACTAGATGTTGCTAGCGACTTTTCTCACTTGAAATTTAAAAAAAAACAGTAAAAATAAAGCCTATGTTATTCAGTGATAACATAGCTTTTTAATGGTGCAAGAATTTTTTAAATCGGTCCAGTAGTTCTTAAGTTATTTCAATACATACAAAAATACAAATCTTTTCTCTTTATAATATTAGTATAGAGTATTGATTATGATTTTACCTACGTTTTAGTCTAATAAAAGCATTATTTGTTCCGATATTTCCTAATAAAGGAAACTCATATAATTATATAAATAAACTAGTTTTCGCCCGCTCCGTCCACGCGGAATTAAAAAAAAAACAAAAGTAAGTAGCCTATGTGTTCTTTCAGACTATCCTCTACATCTATGCCAAATTTCATCGAGATCCCTTCAGCCGTTTAGGCTACAAACTAAAAACATCCATCCATTCATCCATCTAAACTTTCAGATTTATAATATTAGTAAGAAGTAAGATTAAATCTGTCGTGTTTAACTTAGTGACAAGACCATTTGTTATGCGAAGTAATCCTACAATTGTACAAATGGATTAAAATTTGACGGTCAAATGAATTACAATAGTTTGTCTGCTTCTACAATAATTGGTTTTTGTGCAACACTCGCTGTACTTCCTGCGTCGCTTTTTGTTTCATTGTTGGGAAGGCCATCTCTCGGTTAGGAAATGTCTGTCGCGCGTAACGCTCTTCGTAAACAAATATCAAATGTTATGTTAAATGTTTAATAGACTTGGTGTTATTTATACTAGCATCTATACGACTCCGGCCGCGTGGGATTAAACGAAATAAAAGCAAGTAGGCTATGTGTTCTTTCAGACTATCCTCTACATCTATGCCAAATTTAATCGAGATCCGTTCAGCTGTTTAGGCTACAAACTCTAACAAAATCCATCTAAACTTACGCATGTATAATCTTTGACTAAACTATTCCATAATAATTGTGCAATTGTTGATTGTTTCGTAGCCAACTGTTTAGTGGGCAACTAAAAATCGAGTAGTATGCGCACCTCCATAGGTTAGTAGGAATCAACGTGCGACTAAACAGTTATACGATAATTTAGTTAACGACGTGCGAGCGCTCTTTTCACATAGTATGTGACTTAAAATGCAAACCATTTGCTCCTTTGAATATACAAATTTTGGTGCAAAAATAACCAGGAAATATAAAGTCGTTAACATTGTAAGAACAGTTACAATCAAAATTTAACAAAGACGAGTTTGTGGCGTGAGAAAATTGTAATGTATTAAGGAATTAACCGAAATGTAATCTGTATTAGTAATGTTATTTAATGCGACGTAAAACTGTAAAACTTACATCATATAACCATGATTATTTTAGGGACTAACGGACACAACAAAGCAAGTAAAAGAGATGAAGAAAAAACCGTATGACACGAGTATGTCCTAGTCCATTCTAATAATCCAATCTAATCTAATGCGCAATGTGACTAGCGCAAGTCTACCAATGGAAATAGACTAAGCGACTATCAAGAATTCGGTCCTAATAGAATAGTTCAGACACATCGGAGAGTAAAGCAAGCAGGTGTTTTCAAACAAAGCTTAATTTCACTATTTTTGCTATACTACACTATACTTTATTCTCCGGTCCCTGTAAATCAACCCTAAAGTGGGAATAATTTAAAAGGGGGTCTTATCGTATGGGGGGTATTAAACGTGTATTGTACAGACCGGTGTCGGAGGTGAGGGAGAGCATGGTGAGCATCTCGAGGTCGTCATCCGGCGGTGGGCGCTTCTCCTCTTCGCCGCCCAGCACCACAATGCTGGAGCCGGAGCGCCGCCGCGCTCTGAAACACCAGGCACACATTCTTGAACTACCCACTTATTACAACTGCTACTCACTATCATTATCATTACAAAAGCCTAAGTTGGAGGTAATTAGACGGATTATTCCCAACCGTCACCCCGCTCTGTCCCCACGTGGAGACAGATGAGAACAAAAAGTTACATATGTCCTACCGTTTGCGACGAGGGGATGGTTGGAAGTTATTTTATTTCATAATGGTTCCATCTGTCACCTTCGTTACCAAGAAAGTGGGACTAAAAGGTGGGACGGATGAAACTTTTTATTCTCACGCGGGACAGAACGGGGTGACAGTTGGGAATAATCCGACTAGACCAGTCAACACTGGATCACAATGGTGGTTGATTTCATAAATATCTTTGAATTTCTTCGCCGAAATGTGCAGGTTGTATCACGTTTTCTACCGCAACAACGTCGGATAAGTTATGTTAATATGAAATTCAAAAATCGAACACATTGGTACATGGGATTCGAACCCAAGATCTGTAGATTACAAGTCGAGCGTTTAACTTCTGACCACAGACGTACGTGGCTCTACTGACAAATTAAATTGCATACTTTGTAAGACAAAGAAAGAGATGGATGGAATGCGTGAAAGGTGATATGATCAAGAAGGGAGTGATGACTGAGATGACGTATAATAGAGTTATGTGGAGGACAGGCCTAATTTTAGTCCCTTTCTCTTGCCACCCTTTTCTTATAAGTAGAGGATGGGAAGGGAAGTGGATTT